TTTTCCTGTAGTGTTGAGTACATCCATTCAGCCCCATTTCCTCCCCCAATCCACTTTCCCCTCTCCCATTTCTTCCCTGCATTTGCCTCCCTTTCCAGTCCCATATGATTTCCTCTTAAAAACCATTTCTCTTCAAAGTGGTTCAGGTATGCAGTGTGAATCATTGACTACATACACACTAAATCCTCCCCCTCCCATTCTTGTTCTACGCAAACACTTTTGAAAACTTAAAACATGCTTCACAATTTCACATTGACCTTCCTCTATGTGACTTTCACAGAACACCAAAAAAACAGCTGATTTGTATGGGTTGGTTGGCTGGGTGAGAAACACTGACAGGGACACTGTAGAAGGACAGGTACAAGGACAGAATGACAGGATCAAGCAAATGTACGTAGCTCATTTGCCTTGAACATTTGGAATCCCATTTCTTTGCACTGCAGCCTCAAAGCCCAGGTTAGCCCTGCAGTGTCATGATTTTTTTCACATTCAGTCATCATTGTACGGGTTGGCCCGACACTCGACTTGGGAAAAGTTAGCGTGACTTGACTTGCAGAAGAGTGATTAGGTTTAACAGAGCACCAGGGTGTTGGACTCTCAAAAGTAACCAATCTAAGTGGATCAAAATATAATCCTGGCCCTTTTTCAATGCAGGAAGATTTGGCTGCAGACGAAGGGCAGTCGTCGGTCAGAAATCTCCAGAGCAGATTTCAAGAATGAGAAATCTGTTGAAAAGTTAGACTACAAAGAATTCAAGATCATCAGATGAGACCTGATGTCCTTCTGCTTCGGTGGCATTTCTTTGTAAATAAAATTGTAAATTTTTTTAACACCACAGTTGCTTTGAATGCTGAGTGAAACCAGTTCAGGCATGATATCCTTTATGTGTGACGTGAGGCTGTTTCCTTTAAATTTAAATTAAGGCATTATTTATTTGAGCAATCTAACAGTGAGGGTAAATTTGAAATTTCATCAAAAACTGCCCTCCTTTTTAAAAACAGTCCTTTTTCTCTTCGCCATTTGTCTGCAGATCTTTCTGATAATTTCAGCTGCATGTGTTCCTGTGGTTAGGCATAGTGTGCATTTCAGAGGTGTAAGCATGAAACACTTAAAATCCTAAACTATTAAATTTGAAAACTCCACCTTGTCTTACCAAATTGAATAACGGGTCAAATTTTTGCAGTTAGATGATGCTGTGTAAAAGCTTGGTATTTTGTGTCAACCCTCACCCCTTGGGGAATCCATAAAATTCACACTGAAATGGAGACGAGACTCATGAGATTCATATTATATTCATATCAATGTATTGGTGTAAATAACTCCCTTTTCTGTACATCTTCCCACCCCAACTACATGTACCTACTTATGATTGCTCTTTGTCGAAGGCCACACTATTATGCTCTTTCATTTGCACCTGTGAATTCTTGTTCAGAAACTGAAGCTGTTGCCTTCATAGCCTCGACTAGACCTTGGAGTTGACTTTACCCGCACCCTGACAGTACCGATGCAATTCAAGTTCTTCAGCTAGGGTTGTTTGGGGAAAAAAAATTATCTTCAATTTGCTGTGATTGAAAGCACCCCTTACTTGCTAAGATGAGACAGGCTGGTGGAAATCCAGTTTCATTTGGTGCCGGCACCCATGCCAATCTTACATACCTACATGTATGTGTATTTAAACTTGAATGCCTGGAGAAAAGGCCCATATGATGCTGGGTTGGTGAACCTTGTGTAGACTAGGTTAACTCCACGCCACGTTACCCCCTTTCTACAAAGTGTAAGGGGCAGTCTTGGATTAGGGCTAACATGGCAAAAGGAAAAGGAGCAGTATTAAAGGAAACCATATGCAAAAATTCAGCCTAAAGCGATGTTCACCGGCAGGAAAACTGAGTGCCTTCAAGTTTTCTTAACTACATGAAAACAAAAGAATGTCCACGCGACACTGGTAATATAAACGTGTGCAGAGTGTAATGAAAAATTGATTGCTCATCTGGCACCGCGCACACACATCGACACACATGTGATGTGAGTTCCCACCACAGGACCATCTGTGCTCCATGAAAGCATGCCACCTCTTTCTCCCACACTGAGCGGATACCTCACAGATCAAAAGCTTGGATTTCAAGAGCTTTTCCCTCAGTAGCTGAAATATGTTGCCATTCTGTCAGGCAGTCTTTCAGCAACTTGCAAATGAAATTTGAGTGTAAGTAAAATACCAGTACATTGTTCTAGGTTCTGGTGCCTGAGTGGAAAGGAGGGGCAAAGTTCCTGGGTGTGGCTACTTGATGTGTTTGAGAAGTTCAGCACAGTGTCTGTGAAAGTGTCAATACAATCTTACATGAAGTGTGCAGAGTGATAAATATTTAATAAAACTGGATTACAATTTGAATGCATTACCAGTTTATTACAATTCTCTTTATTGTCTAGTCATTGTTATACTGAAATGTACAGGAACATGTACCAATAGGTGAACAGATAATGTGCTTGCACAATTGGATAATCAGGTGTCATAAATGGGTCAAGACATAAAATACCGACAGGAATGCTCAGAACAAAGGAAAGCGTTCATATATATCCAATATCTATTGGTGACTATGAATAACAGATGTCAAATTTGTTTTAATGTTTGGAAGTGTCACCCAGGGGTGGGAACGTTAAAAAAAATATACCGTTACCAAATAGATAACCTTGCCCATTGCATGCAAGCACTCGCATCCAATATCTACCCAAGGTGTGAACAGATCACATGGGACTAAAACATCTGTGGTCTTTGTGAAAGTTCTGGGTTTTCACTTAAGTGGGTGGGAACATGAAATACCTAAAGAGAATGTCAAAATGAACATACAGGTAGGAAAGCATTCAACAGCCAGCATCCAATCTTTGGTTACACAGACTACAAGTGATTCTCTCACAATTCTTCTATACACAGCATCGTGTTCATTTCCAACATGTCCAAACTGCCCTCCTCAAATTTTATCTACTGTAAGAGTTTAAGGAACAGAAAGTCTGCTGGGTAGAGCAGTGACTGATTGATAGAACACCTCACTGACGGATTCTGTCTCTTCATTGGCCAAGTGCATGTCACATGATATTTGCTATTTTTATCATTTTACAATGCACTCCAATACAGACTGCCACAACCCTGGTTCTCAAATGTACAATATACATGTATGTGTAATAATCCAAGTACTACTACATGGAGTTCTGCATCTATGCACACTTTGAAGACACATGTGCTTGAGTGCACGTTAGGAGTTGGCATGACAAAAAAAGGGGAAATAATGTACTTGTAAGAGGAGAAAGTGAGGAAATCAACCCTTCCCATTTCTGTTAGTGTTTGGTTTAATTCATATCTCCACGACTTCAAAATCTATGGGTGAGGTGTTATGAAACAAACACTGACTGTTCTGTTTGGCAATTTGATAAAATATGCTTTCTGAGGTTATGAGTTCCAAGGGTGTTCTTCTGAGACTAGCTATCAAAGCAGTCGATACTTGTACTTGAGAGCTACTGTCTCGGCACTCATCAGAATTCACCTGATTGAGAACATGCCATTTGCTCACCATTGCATGAGGTAACAATATCTATTAACTTATCCACTCTTGGATACTGCAGAATATGCTGTTGAATGTGACAGCAACTGAAAGATAACAAATTTAAAGGGAAGAGTCGCACAAATGTTGAGAGTAAAGCTTGATTAAATAACTGCATGACAACATGCACGATTCTAAACACCACTTTCTAAACACAAATTGTCCTGTGAATTTGAGTAGATCAACAGGAAAAGAACAACCACCAGGACCACTATTCCTCAGCATACACAATGGGGACAAAGACGGACTTTGTCTTCCATGAGCCTAATCAGGGTGAGTGCAGAACCTGATCGTGAGTTCAATGTGGAGCAAGCCCACTAGGGATAAGAATGAACTACGCTGGTGTGTAATAATGCAAATGGTGGTATGTGGTACAGAATCCAGCTTGTTGCAGAGGGAAACATTAATCAGTGTAATTCATGAGGGCTTAAGTTGGATGTGAATCAACTACTTAAACCTCCACAGAGGTGGTTTTTCTATGGAGCGTGTACATTCTTTTGGGCAAAATTCTGACAGACTTTTCAAACGGAGGAGTAAGGGACCTGAAGCTACGATAGTAAATTTCAATTCAAGTTGGACGATACCGTGCCAGTCCCACATATCCAAGGTGTGACACTGTTCCATTCACACGGTCATCGAGATCCGCTCAGAAAAACCTTTCAGTGTGCCATCAACTTGATGAGCTGTACACTCAGGATGGATAAAGATGTTTGTGTAGTGTTGTTTGCCGACTGTATTAATTTGCAGCTTGTTTGGTGTGTTTCACTGTGAAAGTTTCATCACTGAAGCCACACCTGCCACAGGATAAAACAAAAGAAACAACTTCCACTCAAAAAAAACCCAAAAATAATAAAAAAAATTCTTGAATAGCTTTTAAGCCATCCTATAAAGACTGCTCATAAAAAGGATGTGTTATGGGACAGTTCTGTTGAACTCCAGGGTCCTTTCCTTTTGTTTTCAATCACTCATGCCTTACGTTTTCCTGCTTGGATCTACTGTAACGGCATTCATGAATGTTTGGATTCTAATCATCACACAGAAGAAGCTGGCTACAAATACTACTAAAATGTAAGAAGTGCAGAATTTGAGCTCATCAATAGATGGCAGATCCCTGCATATGATTGTACAATAGTAAGTTTTCCATTAACCCTTCTTTGGTTTTACAGCACAAATGTGCACAAATGTGCACAAATGCCCACAGTCACTGGTGAGCATGTATTTTCTATATGGAACTNCTGCATTTGGTTTGCTGCACAATTATGCACATGAAACAGTGAAGCACAGTTCTTGGGCAGCACAAAAGTGCAATCTGATATTCCTGTGAGGGTCTGTTGGTGCAGTGCACAACACAACACAGCTGTGCTTCTTTGAGGTGTTCACCAAATGACCCAAAAAGTGACTTCAGCATAGGAGGGTTAATTGAGTTTTATATGTATTCGTATGAAGAACATTTCAATAGTTCCACAAACCCCCCAGTCTTCAGACTAGTGACAACTTGAAATTTCATGAAAACACAAATCTACTTACTTTCAAAGCTGATCTTCTCTGTGATGTTCTTGGTCTTGATATTCTCCTCTTGTTGATTGATAAAAACACAGTTTCCATCCAGAGGTTTCCAACCGTACTTGTTCATCCAGTGGTTCAGTTCTTGGTCACTCAGATAACCTAGAAGGTCTCCCAGTTGCCGCCGGTCAATAGTTTGGTAAGTGATTTTCAGAATGTGGCAGATATCTGCGTGGAAGAGAATTACAGGGATGCACCTGTAGGTTGGCTGTATTTTTGGCATTAAACATATTGGTTTATCCTAAAAATTATAAAAATCCTGAACAGAGGTTGTTTGGTGAGGACTTTTTTCCCTTCAATTAGTTATTTCCATCCTTTTCAAAAAGGTTTAATGTGCACTCAGTTACTTTCCACAAAAATTCCAGTTAGTGACTGAAAACAAAATCATTATGTGTGCACTTGCATAAAAGTGCCTCCACAATTTTCAATTTAACTTTTAGGGTCCAAAGTGACATCAATGATGCACTCCACTTTAAGAGATGTTTTGCTGCAACTAGCTGGGAAATGGAAACCAAGACTCGGTGAAAAATTAGATAACTGACAGTAAAACACTCTTTGTATAACAACTGGGCAAATTTTAAAACCTGAAATACTAGACTAACTAGAAATACCAGAGATGATGATTTACCAATGCGTCATGAACACATTTAAATATGTTGTGAGCAACGTTGCAGCAAACATTTGATCAACTAACTAATATTAGAATATTTACCTGTATTTGAAAAATCAAACACTCAGAGGAAATCAATGAAACATAAAGGGGAAAATGTAACTACTTGATTACAAAATTACATTCTAAGAACATGCCTCAAGGTGGTTATGAGTAAACTTAAAGGCAACTGATACATATGCTGAATAATAAGACACAAAAATTACATTCCCTTTTTCCACTTTATTGAGGTGTAATCTTGCTGGGATTGAAGCAATAAACCAGCACTCATGACAACCATTAGTTGAACCTCCAGCCTCCGTTAGGGAAAAGACCCCCTTGCCCTGGAACTGAACGAGCTGGACTACCACATAAACATGCATACATGTATTTTGTTTCTGCTTTTGTGGGGATTGGAAAAAAACAAATACTGGCATATACTGACTCGGCCCTTAATCCTGAGGATTCAAAGACCAGGTTATTTTACATCAGCCTAAAAAGCTATTTTGTACTCAGCCAACGAATGCATGTGAATGCCAATTTGTTACACTCACCAAATACATGTACGGGTACATGTATTCATGCTGCAAATTGTGAAATCCACACATTTCTTAACTGGTGAATCTCAACGTTTTGTGATGTAGAATTTACATCGCATTCACACCTGTATCGCCTATGAATCGACTTTTATGCGCCCTGGATCCAGAAATTAAATAGCAGACTGGCCCAAGTAATAGCAAGAAATGACTCACATTTTCGAATAGAATCTTTGAAACCTGTAATTCCCATGAATAATGTACTTGTTGCTCCATCACACTCACTCTGAAAAATCAAACCAAAACATCTGATTTAGCAAAAAACATCTTCCCGCAAAATGTTTCTGGTTGACGAGAACAATCTCCACAATGGTAAACTAAGGGAGGGGGGTTGGCAGAAAAAATATGAAACACAACAAAAATCTACATCTGTCACACGGAAGAGTCTGATCTCTAACTTTAGTGGACTTTTGTTTACAAGTTGGATTTCCTTCAATTTCAGAACCAAACATTCAATTGTACAAAACAATTGTGCAGGCAAACTCAGCTTAGAACTAAGGACTGTACTTTACAGACTGGTACGGTGCCAAACCAACTCATTTCAGAAAGGCCAATGACTTTCCCACTTAATTGTGCAACAGTTCCAGAGGGCTCAGTACATGTACATCAAGGGCTAGTGTGCGAGTGGCAGAATACATGTAGCAGCTTAAGGACCTACCCAGAAGCGCTTGAATTCACACGTCTCCAGGAGGTTGGCTAGATACATGATGGTCAGCAGTGGAGGTTCTTGTTGCTGCATTTACGAGGTCAAGGAAAATATTTAGACAAGAAAACTATTAAACACTGCTTTAATCCCTCCAAGACACCAGCTCCCAGGATTACATCTTCAAAATTCTGAGCAGGGATCCCAGTTGCAGGGGTCTCAACAGACTATAACCTCAACCCGGCCTAATGCAGCATAACGCAAAAGTGGAGACAAATTGAGCATACTGTCGCCTTAAGCAGTGAACACAAGTGGCAGAGTACACCGTGTAGCTTGATAAGTCCAAGGCTGGTGGTTATCCAGTGCACGGCATTCTGATGCCTTCTGTTGCACTCAGCAGAGCTTTCATTTCAGCTGTGTTTCATTCAGCAGGGTTCTCAGTTTAGCTGTGTTGCATTCTGTTGCACTCAGCAGGGTTATCAGTTTAGCTGTGTTGCATTCAGTCATGTCAGTAGGGTTCCAATTCCAACCCAATGGGAATTAAAATGATCAACTACCAGTACAAAACAAGTGTATCGCATGGAATGCACGAAGATGTATGCAAGAAAACTCCTGCTTGACCGGCATTTTCGGAAAGAAGAAAAAACACCTAGGTAGTGTGTGCCCTGGAAATATAAATGGAAACTAAAAATAAGGGAAGGATACATGGACCTCATCAATGAGACATTTGCAGAGGATGAAATCTGTGTGCGGAAGGTTGGTAAGAGCCTTCAGGAGAACCATAGCTGCGACATTGACCTTGAAGGTGCCTGGATTCAGCTGGTACCTGAGCAATGGAGTGCAAAGGTGAAAGGTTATGGTTAATCATTCAACAAAATTATTCAGTAACATGTCTTTGACCTCAAGAGAACAATATAAAATGATGTACATGTACATGTAAAGTGGGGCAAAAAAAAACATTCACAAGGCGTACTCATTTTCTTAAGGCCGGCCTTGCTGAAGCTTTGGCCTAGGAGTGTCTGTCTAAAAACTTTGCTGCTCATAGAACACGATAGTCAAACTCTCAAAAATGGTCTGTAAAACTCTGTGTTTTGTGTAGACTTACAGTTTTAAAACTGCCAAATTTGCTTCCAGGTCATATCGATTCTCTGAAGCCTGTATTTCCACATATCGTTCTAGTTTTCCAAGATTCTCTGGATTGTATCTGCATGTCAGTAGAAGAGAGAGTAAACAACTGAATGTTAATCTTCCTTTTCTATCATTACCTCTGGCAACAGTAAGGGAGGGCCATTTACACCTTTACACGTTTATACGAAAAAAGTTCCAAATCCCTTTACAGTTTTTCTGATGCATTCAAATAGAACGGCCCCTTTTAGGGGTTTGATGTTTTGATTGATGCAATCTGGCATTCATTCTTATTGTAAACGATGGCTGTCAAATGTAATCTGATTTCGCAACACTTTATACTGCTTGATCATATCAAAGGAATTCATTTCATCACTGGAACTTTGTGCCAACTATTTATATTGTATAAAATTTGTTGTGTTTGAAGTTTTCACTGACACCGTGGTAAGGGTGGAACTTTTAAATATTTAAACGTTTGAATGGTATCAGAAGCATCTCTAAAGGAAAGATGACTAATTCACATTCTGAAAAGTATCACGAGTCCTTCACCAGAAAATTGATGGAGCCCTCTACCACTTCTATGAATGTACAGTGATATTACAACAGGTGCATTCACCTCCAAGCTCTCCCTCGTAAGGTTACTATTGTTTAAGCGCATCAAGACTTAAGTGTGATGCACTTTAGAAAAACTGTGTTATTGTGTTATTGTTAAGTTTATTATTTGTACATAAAGAACTAAGGTTATCTTTCACAACTGCCGATAAACCCTCAAGGAATAAGCAGGGAAACGGTGTACAGTTTCGATGTGATCACAGCTACTGGACATACGGCGTTCAGTTGTCGGCGTGCGTGTGCATGTACTGGCGCATCATGACGTCATCTCCAGGATATTAACACACAGTTCAAATTGCTGTTTTAACAAGATGGCAAAATTGCGCTCGACAAGAAGACTGTTTCTAATTTGAAGGGGAAATTTCTCTTTTCTTCCCAAATGTGAGTAAACCTTTTGTATCATCATTATTGGAATATCCAATTTTCACTCGATCTTAGGCTAAGCCGGGCACATTAGACAGTTTAAAGACCACTTTGGAAGTGGGAGGATTTTGATCTGGGTTACGATCTATTCAACTATTTTGAGTGGAATGAATTAATGGAAGCAAAAGCCTACCATACATAGAAATTTCTGGGGAAATGGGCATGGAGCAGCATTTCTATAGGTACACAACAAGAATAGAATCCCTGTTTGTGCCGTGTTACAAAGGCTAATTTTCTGTGGGGTTCGTGGGAGCGGAGCGAACATCGGACCCCACTGGGGGCATCTAGGCCATAGTACTACTAGTCATGCTATTTAGCATCAACAAGCCTCAACACACACAAGTACATGTAGGGATGTTACAAAACTGCATAGTCCGCGGTGGTCAAAATCTGCCAGTGTAGGTGTGCGCCGGATGGCGAGATGTTTAGGGGATCCCTGAGAAAAGCGTGTTTTTTTCATTGGCTGCTGGAAGGGTATCCCCTTACGTAATAGCTTTATTTTCCCATTTTTGTCTTTGGTGGTGATGTGTCAAATTTCTTAACCCACCAGATGTGAAGATAAGGATGCATAGGATTAGGAGTTACAGGTGTGAAATTGGCTCCTTGGAAAAGGTAGAAGTGTTGCAAATTTTAGTTACAACAATTTTTGCCCGATTTTGCACTTTTCATACCCTGGACTCCCTCCGTAACGTAGTACAGTCGGGGAGTCCACCTGGGCTAGATATGACCGCAGGACACTAGTAAGTACATGTACATGCATGACATGTACATGAAAACTACTCCTCCCTGTGATCCACTTTGACCATCGCGCAATAATTTGTCTCCGAACAAAATACTAACAAGCTCTATATAGTCTTACTCAAAAACTGTGAAAATTTTAAACATGTCACTTTAAATCATGATTTTTTACCTATCAATTCCTTTCAGCATGGAAGCAACCGTGGCTCTCGCTTCGTCGAACGCCATATTGGAAATGTGCATGCCGCATGTGTAATTTGTAGACTGGTGACAAATCTTTCTCCGAGAAAAAGGGTCGGTATACGTTTGACCATGAAGGAATCCTTCATGGTTTGACAGAGTTGCACCTTGGCAGTGATTGGTTTGTCACACAGCGCCTGAACGGGGGGGGGGGGTGTTATGGCTTTGCATTTCATTGTGCCCGACCTGTGACCTCCTGTTAACAAAGCAATGACAATGCTTTGGCACGGGCAAAGTGTCAGCTATATTGGTTATCTTGATCAGTTGCGAATGAACGAATAAAGTCTTGAGAGAATATTTTTAGCAATGAAGAAGAAAAGGAAAAATACTGCATATGATATCCGCCGCTCACGTGACACACTGAGCTCGCACGCGTGGTAGAAATATACCCACTATGCTCTGTGCGTCGTTACCTGTGACTTTGTGTGACGTATTTCCTTCACTGAAATCTGTGGAAGGCCATCTGCAGTAGCCATCAGCCCTTCCTACGGGGTGCTGGGTGACGAGCGAAGTTGGCTGGCTTCCTGCGGTGCAGGGGCGGATCCAGAAACTTTTCCGAGTGGTGCAGGCTGGAGATTTTTTAATGGCTCACTTTTGTGGACAAGCAGAAATGAAGCTGAAACATTATACATGCCATACATTGTTTACAACGGTATTGATGCACCTTCTTTCGTTATTTTATTATTTTCCGATTTTTTTTCCTTTTCGTCTCAGAGCAAGGGGGTTCACCCCCACCCCGATCTGCACCAGCAGTGGCGTAAATTTGTGTAGGAAATTGGGGGATTTGTAGGGGGGAGCGACACCATACGGCACTATATACATGTATAGGGGGCGACGTTCACCATAGATGTATATCTGCAATGTGTATTACATTTATGCACTTAAATCTTAAATCAGAATGGCATATTTATGGCTTTTAAAATGTTTTCCTTTTTTAAGTGATAATGAATACATCATTGGGAAGTCTGCAAAATTCTTCAATGAATCAATTTTTGCACACTTCAAAGAGTGTGGGGATGATTCAACAGCTTATCCCCCAATTTGCTTGAAAATGCCTTGGAACTGACCCCTCTTCTATGTTTGGTTAGTTTACAGCTGACGTATGCTGTAGCCCCATCGGGAAAAAAGCTTTCCCAGTCCTGGTCCCATGGTGGGGTCACACACAGGTGAGAGTTCATGCAGTCATGGGTTCGAAACCTTCCCCATCCCCCTCCTTCTAGAGTAAGACAGATTTGCTTCTTAATTAAGGAGCCGTTTAGGTACTTCACGACAAGGCCTTGAAGGCCGGGGTCACGGGCTCTAATAAACAATATGCCATCTGCTTTAAGCCACGTCAGCAATAATTCCAATTAGCGGGAGTCGGGTGTTAAATCTTACAAGAGTGGACCATAAATGTGTAAACGAACAATCGAATTTACTGTAAAACTGTGTTCATAATCCGATCAGACAGACCTGTGAAGAAGCCTTCGATAAAATCAATATAATTACTACTGATTACTATTGTGGTCTCTATTGATGCTGTTAAACAATCTGGTCTTGCAAAATGAGTTCTATTTATTATTCTTGTTTTATTTCACTTTATAAAGTTTTTGCAATGTGGTCAACAGTATTTTCAGGCGCCTGTACCAATCGCTAAAGAAGGCCATGCCCAGTGAAACAGTTGCAGCCAGATAAAGGGAATACATATTTCTTGATTTCTTAAGTACTAATCCCTCTTCTCAATTCCCTCTAACCATCAGAAATAACGAGCTCTTCAAGCACCGTAGAGGCTTCTGTAGGACCCAAGATGACGACAACGTGTCAACGCATCATACGGCGTTTGACAATAATAGTGCGCCTCAAAGAGTTTGTATGGAACGCACTGACCATTCGTAATGCACAAAATTAGTCGACCCAATGCGCGTTTGGAAAGGGTCGACAGATTTTGCGTATTGGCCAACGCGTTACAAACTCTTGGAGGGGCACTATTGTGAATCTCGAGGTGTTCCCCATCTGTATTAAAATCCCTCGTGGGGCCTATTGTGCATCTCTTCAAAAGATGGAAAAGAACTTCACCAGTGCATCTTGATGTAACTCCACCAGCGTTGTTGGAGGGCCTTTGCGAAAAGATCTTAGGTCTCTTTTACATGCTATAGTAGTAGAGCTGGGCTATAGTAGTTCTTTTTTGTAAACTTGACAAACTTATTAAAGACAAATTCATTATAATAAACCTGAGAAGTTCCAATTCAATCCAAAAGAGAAATTCGTTATTACTGTCCTTTATCATTTCTTCCCTATACGCTGTTGGCACTCGTGCTTTAAGCTCGCATGGGGTTTTGGCTGGCCTGTATTTTGCGAGAATAATGTCTGATTTTCATGAAATTTGTATCAAAATGGTTGAAAGATATTATACATTAAAAATAATCATGCCAATGTGAGACGAAACCAGGGGTGGACCAAGGACCTTTTTTCGTTGGAAGTTCGAATTCTCCCAGCCGGAGGGGGATGCTAAATATGTCGCTGTTGTTGAAGCCACGTACATATAGCAACAAAAAAATTCTGAGTCATTAGCATTGTTGATGTACCAGCAGAGGCCTTTGTCACTGCACACACGTATTCTTCTCGGGGACACCAGTATAAATTTAACAAACAATATGCCAGTACCAGTGCCTTGAGCAACAGCATAGGGTATTGTTGAATTTGCAAAACATCACATGCAACCCTTAGGGCCGAACGTTTTAAATTGTTAGTGCTCGTAAATAAGCTACCTAAGGCACGTGACACCACTCTATCAAACTTCAATTACATTTGGCCAGAACGGTATATTCAATTACGATATCAAACTGTCCAAAGAAATTAGACTTTTAGTCTGGTCCCACTATTGTAACTCAAATACTTTTATTTACATATGTACAGCGTTTTTTTATTACAATCGTCTGATTTGTTCGAATCTAAATTGAAATCAGAAGAATTTCATTAAACAGTCTAATACATTAAAAGAAGGAGCATCCAAATCTATTACTTTTCAGGGGGGAAAAATAAATTGGCCTGTGATTAGAAAATCTAAATAGTCTCTATCTGGATTCCCTGCATCTCTTTGACTTTGCCTCAACTTTCGGATTTTGTCGGGTGCTTGATGTAACCTCGTGCGTTGTCTTGGATAGCCCCCGTTATCTGGTTACCAGTCAGTGTCCTCGACAGTGGTGGGTCTGAGCCCCTACGTCTTACTGTCTCTGGCTCACCCCAGTGGATGGGTGGGAAGTGGAGGGATAAGGGCCGTCTGAATAATAAGTGATAAGACACAATCGAAAACCAGTTTTCAACCCACCGGTCGAACCTTCTAAACGTTTACCCAAAACAAATTTTACAACTTTACGTAAATTCTATGTTACTTCTTAATGAAATTCGGCCAATCAATCTGCAGACATTATTTTTAAGCTAGTCGATACATGACATAGAAAGAAAATGACTTTTATATGTATTTTACAAAAACGTCTAAGATCTCGGTCTACGTGGTTTCACTTCTCTTACTTCGTTTCACAAATAACTTACGGTTATCGGACTCTGTCCTTGCTTGAAGTGGTCACAGGTTGGGTGTTGCTGCTATACAGAAGGTACAACCTCGGCTGGAGATTTTCGGCACTGTAAAATTCTGCCGAGCTGATAAAAGTCGGCGATCATCAAATGACCACAAGGAACTTGAGAACTCAGCCGAACCCTATTTGCAGTCAGTATTCACCTCAACCTTTCCAAAATTCTCTCACTCACTTTCTCCCTGACCGTTTCCTGTCGATCTCGACTGCCACCCTCATTTTTTTCCTTATTCCTCTAGGAAAATCCCAAGGCGTGTTTTACACCGATAACCATGGCCCGGACAATACTGAAATTATATAACTCAACCTCCTTTGACAATACTGGACGACGTGAGCGTAAACTATTATCTCGACATCCAGAACTCCGATTGGTTATGACGCGTCTACGCGGGATAAACGATGATTGGGTAAAGCTTTGTACACGTCATTCGCGGAGAGTACACTACCGGTATACAATACAATGTACACGTACAGCAAACCCGGTTGTGTTTGCTGGAACGCGAATGCTGGAACGCGATTGTGACAACACGTCTAACTTCATGCCCAAAACTAACCCTCAAGCTAGAGTGATGTTTCCTGATGGAGGCTTTGGCAACTATACGAATCAGATTCGTATATACGATTCTGCCCGATGGCCCACATTCTTACGCAAATGGCGCGTACCGAGGCTATTATGCGAGCGGGACTTCACGTTATCCGTCTCGAGCGCAGAAGCGCCCACTCATCGGTTGAAAAGACCTACATTGGTCGGAAGGGTTTATTTTGTTGGTAACAATGCGACCGTGACACGTGCATTTCCTAGTCGTTCGTGAACCAGTGAATTTCAGTTCTGAGCAAAATGAGCCCCTGTTGCTAAACGCCCTCTCTTGGTCAAGCTCAAGGTCCATTGTTTCCATTATTCTGTACGAGTCGGGCGGCTTTGTTTTGTATGAAAAGCCCAAACCATTACTTGGTACTGTACAACTGCAATGGGTTAAGACCCGGATGCCGCTCGAATATATTATCCATTGTGTATATTACCACAAATAGGTCATTTGGGAGAGACTTTGTTGTAATTTTTCAACCATAGGGAGACATTGGTCATTAGGGAGACATTTCAATGTCTCCCTAATGCCCAAGCTACCAGAAGGAGGCCGAATTTTGAGAGATGATAGATTAGGGTCTAAAACGAAAAGTTTGGTTAAGATCGGATTAGGGAATATTGAATTATGGGACAGCACAGTTGGAAAAATTTTGTGCACGTTCTTATTGGAATGTCTCCCTAAAAGTGACCAATTTTCGGTAATAATAAATGATATTATCATTATGTATAATGATAATTGTCCGCACTACTGTCTGTAAAGTGAAGGGAGCAACAGTTGTTTTTACCTAGACAAGGTAAGTTAATGGCGCTTCCACGTGTTGCAAGAGGATTCCAAACAAAAGCGCACATTGATTGGCCTTCTAACAGCCGTGAATTGAAGGTTGGAATTTGTCGAGTTATGACGTATGCATTAGAACAGGGTAGATTTATCGTCAACAACTAATTATGCAGTTGGCAAAAGCCCATTTGGTGGACCGCCTTACAAATTGATCGTAATTTTGACACTCTAAAGGGAAAAAAAATACCCGTCTCGCAATGACCGACGTGGCTCTTGCGTTTAGAGCGCCTTACCAGTTACAATAGGCCTACCAGAGTTGCACCTGAACAAAATTAATTATCCGGAGATTTGAGTCAAGTACATGTACATGTATGAAAAGTCCAATGTTCCAAGCAATAAGAAGTTAGGCCTGGTATCTGCGCAGGATGTTGGAAGATCCACTGGCAGCCGTGGAAAAATATGTTCTGTAAATGATGTAAATGAAAAGTAATGATATGATTGGTATTCTATTACACAGTCAGACATTGATTTATAGAACTAGCTCATGGATCGAGTCACTTTAAATCTACTAACATAAACGATAACCCGCGTCGTCCTTTCCCACTTAATCCATAAAACATGTATTGCTCTATGAGCAGATTTTGTTTCGCTGGCTGGTTTTCATGTTTCATTTACATCTTTTTACACACCCTTATCCATCACATGCATTTTAAAAATAATTATGGCACCAGCTTTGTCGGGCATCGTACAGATGTAATTACTAATAATTCACGGATCTCTGCCAAAATAGCCAGATCTCGTTTAAACGGCCTATTGCCAAACAAAGGGATCCGTGGTCGCTTTCACGTTTTTACTACATTTTTGTAGGTGGTACTGTATTAGAATTAATGCTTTTATGCAAAATACTTCCACCATCATTAGCTAACCAAACCACCTTTTCGTCTGACCAATGTGGGCGTTACCATGCACAATCTGCTCAGCGATTGGTTTAATAGCTCATGCTATACAAAAGGTATTATATCGTGATGTTTCCGCCGGCCACTTGAGATTTAACGACCAGTTAATCACAATTTAATGAAACTGTATCCGATATCCAACTCCACAACGTCATCCGAGGGTGAGTGATAAAAAATTCTTACCCGCATTACTAATCCTATGCTATCCAAAATAATAAGCCCTTAGTGAATAATGTAGCGTAGTAAAAGCGCGGACTACTTTGTAAAAAATAAAATCAAATATTAAAAAATACCCTGCATCCTGCAATATTCGTTAAGTGCTTGGCTTGAAGTGTGATTAGGGTAAAGGATGTCGGCATCTTATCTCTGAATCTAGGCTAAACGTATAAGTAGATTTTTGTAATTTCTTTGGTGACTATTCAAAAAAAGTAAATCAGTAAACTCATTAACCAAATGTTACATTACTTATCTCAACGAGCAGATGTGACAGGAATAGGCAAACAGTTTTCTATATTCTCATTGATTCCCTTAGCCAGCCTCACTGTGCTGTGACTTTGTGCTGTGAGCCAATCATGTCTGAACTCCCAAGTCATTTGGTAACAACTTTGCTGCTCATCGGCTTGGTGTGCATTGAAGACGCTTATGCTGGTACGTGCAAATAAAAACCTCTCACCCTCATGTTGCCCTTTATCTTCATCGGAAAACATCGCAATTGTGTATAAGAGTTAATGCTGCACAGGCTTGCAAAAAGCATTAATTATCATATATACGTCTTGTAATTTGGGAGGCCTCTTCATGGTGTTACTTTCCTTTTCTCCGTTTTCGACAAACAAATGTCCACTTAACTCGACAAATACGGAACTGTCACAGAAATGAATACAAATAAATATAAGGAAATATTTATTTCTTTTGGCTGGATATTGTTTATATCAAGAAACCATGAAATCAAAAGTTGCCCTGCTCCCTTTAATGCTTCCCTTTACCAAAAGAATTCCAAGTCTATGCTTTGAAGTTTTGTCAGTGCTGGGTTGTTATTCGACTAATTGATTTGTCGAACTCCTACTCCCAGATCAACGATGACAGCATTTGCACTCACTTCTTCCTGTTTTTTTCTTCAGAGGTTTGCTTCCAAGGGGGTTCTGGCGCAAGTAGCGATCTTTGCTTTTTCAACAACCTTGAATGCTGGGTCGAAGATCCCGAACGGTACCCGTGGGAACCGTCGAAGCAGGACAATCACTTCTTCCTCTACACTCGAAACAATGCTGACAGCGTCGAGCTCAAGTGGGATGATGCCAGCTCGTTGGGCGCTTTCGATGCCCAACGGAGGACGGTGGTGGTTGCGCATGGTTTCACCAGTAGTCTTCACGACGACTACTTTATAGGAATCCGTGAAGCCATCTTGAGCCAGGCAAGCTATAGCTTTAAACAGAAACACGAAGAAAACTTGGTTTAGCTTCTTAGACGTTTCTTTTCGTTTATGGACGAACGTTGATCGTTATTTTATATACAAAGTTTCCCACAAATGTTATGAGGGCCCTTGGTTATGTTGGAGCTTTAGGTCATTATAGTCTACATAACAGTTCATATGCCAGCGGCTTTAGCGCCACTTCCAAGGCCTCCTGCGTTGAGATATATTTGATAAATTTCTTATGCATATTTATCCTTATCTAGCACAGTTTGCGAGTTGGTTACCCCCGACAACCCTCTAGATTTTGAACGTTTGCATCAGATTTTGCGCGTCCCGAGTCCATCATATAATTTAGACAATATTTTACGAACTTCGTCAACGCGATTGCATCGCTATAGGTTAAATAGGACCTATACTTTTATTTTTTTTTCATGTGCCGCAGTTTGATGTCAACGTTATCATGGTGGACTGGAGAAAGGCCGCAGCGGGGTTACATAACTACCTCCAGTGCCGCGTGAATTCTAGACTGGTCGGGCGTCAACTTGGCATCCTACTAAAGCTGTTGCATGAACACCGGAGCCTAGACTACGCTGACGTACATATCGTGGGTCACAGTCTAGGAGCACACCTCGCTGGATTTGCTGGGAAGTATTTGGAAGGCCAGATCGGTCGTATAACTGGTAAGTGAGCATAATATTCGGAGATATTGCCATTTCATAAAATGTCATAAGAGATGTCGACACGAGTCTATGTTCCATGTGTTTGGCTTTTGGGTTGAATGTTAAACGAAAGAAAGTAGAAAATTGGGATAATAATTTTTTTAAAATTTGGAATCCAGCCCGCAGACTCGCCTCAAAACCTCCTTGGCTATATGTCTACCAATGCGAAATCGCGTCAGGCATTTGCACTCACATCTCTGCGCACATCTGCACACGTTTGCTCCCCAACGGACGTTGGCTGTATGCATTATCTTGGGCCCCTTTTCCTGCGTTTTTTCTGGGTGATTTACCTAAAACATTTCAAGCCTATGAAATTTCAGCCGTAGACGACGTCGTTGAACCACAGCCACTTCACTCTGCTGTACAAAAGTACAAGGTTTTGGTAGCTATGAAAAGTTGGCGTGCGTTTGTTTTGTCAGGTTTTGGGGTAGACTTGACTCAAGTCGGGATCTTCCGTAACGTTGTCTGTGTGCATGTTTTGGAAGCCACTCGTCGTTACTTGCTTCGCGGTTAGCGCCCTCTTGTGTCCACGTATTACTGTGAGTTCAGAAATTCC